CATCCCCCAAAACATGAAAGCTGTGAATTTGACGCGTGCATGAAAAATAGCGTTTCGCCTGAGACATCCTCGAACACATTAAATGTCGACATCTGTGCTTCACTACCTCCGAAATAAGAAATAGCGTTTTTTCCAAGTACATCCTCTAACCATGGGCAGGAGCACGGCAGACCGACATGACCAGCACGGCAAACTGGGCCCAAGTTCGCCAGGGACATCCTCAACAAAAATGAAATGTTCTCAACATTTTTTATATCGTTCTTGGGGTGTTTCAGGATGAAGAAACAAGAGCCCAAAAAGGACCACAAGGTGGCTCCAAGAGCGCCCTGAAGACTGCAGAAAATGACGATGTGGTTAGGCACATACTCAACATAATCAATAACACGATAACATCGTTCTCGCAAACATTAACCTGGCGAAGGACGCAACCATATGCAGTTGTGAGAACTGCAACTATGAATATCTTCTTCGGTGGAGCTCCCAATGGGGCCACGAAACGCTTTACTGGGTGGGTGAAACGCAGGGAGCAAGGGCTGTGCTGGGTGGTGACTGACGCATGCGGGCGGTGCCACTGAAACCTTTGGCGGAGCTCCCTATGGGGCCACGGAACGCTGCACTGGGTGGGTGAAACGCAGGGAGCAAGGGCTGTGCTGGGTGATGGCTGACGCATGCGGGCGGTGCCAGTGGGACCTTCGGTGGAGCTTCCTCTGGAGCCACGAAACGCTGTACTGGGTGGGTGAAACACAGGGAGCAAGGGCTGTGCTGGGTGGTGGCTGACGCATGCGGGCGGTGCCACTGGGACCTTCGGTGGAGCTCCCTATGGGGCCACGAAGCGCTGTACTGGGTGGGTGAAACGCAGGAAGCAAGGGCTGTGCTGGGCGGTGGCCGGCGCATGCGGACGGTGCCAGTGGGACCTTCGGTGGAGCTTCCTATGGGGCCACGAAGCGCTGTACTGGGTGGGTGAAACGCAGGGAAGAGGGGGAGGAGGGCCACGAAACGCTGTACTGGGTGGGCGGACGCATGCGGACAGTAGACCTGGAACCTTCGGTGAAGCCCCCTATGGGGCCACGGCGCGCTGTACTGGGTGGGTGAAACGCAGAAAGGAGGGGGAGGAGGGCCACGAAACGCTGTACTCGGTGGGGGGGGGACGCATGCGGACGGTAGACTTGGAACCTTCGGTGGAGCTCCCTATGGGGCCACGAAGCGCTGTACTGAGTGGGTGAAACGCAAGCAGGAGGGGGACGAGGGCCACGAAACGCTGTACTGGGGTGGGGGGGACGCGCGCGCGGACGGTAGAAACTTCGGTGGACTCCCTATGGGGCCACGAAACGCTGTACTGGGTGAGTGAAACGCAGGGAGGGGGGAGGAGGGCTACGAAACGCTGTACTGGGTGGCGGGGACGCATGCGGACGGTAAACATGGAACCTTCGGTGGAGCTCCCTATGGGGCCACGAAATGTGTACTGGGTGGGTGAAACGCAGGGAGGGGGGGGAGGAGGGCCACGAAACGCTGTGCTGGGTGGTGGCTCACGCATGCGGGCGGTGCCACTGGGACCTTCGGTGGAGCTCCTATGGGGCCACGAAGCGCTGTACTGGGTGGGTGAAGCGCAGGGAGGGGGGGGAGGAGGACCACGAAACGCTGTACTGGGTGGAGAAGGCGCGTGCGGACGGTAGACCTGGAACCTTCGGTGGAGCCCCCTATGGGGCCACGAAGCGGTGTACTGGGTGGGTGAAACGCAAGGAGGAGGGGGAGGAGGGCCACGAAACGTTGTACTGGGTGGAGGGGGCGCATGCGGACGGTAGACCTGGAACCTTCGGTGGAGCTCCCTATGGGGCCACGAAGCGGTGTACTGGGTGGGTGAAACGCAGGGAAGGGGGGGGAGGAAGGCCACGACACGCGGTACTGGGTGGAGGGCACGCATGCGGACGGTAGACCTGGAACCTTCGGTGGAGCTCCCTATGGGGCCACGAAACGGTGTGCTGGGTGGGTGAAACGCAAGGAAGAGAGGGAGGAAGGATGAGGAGGGGGAGGAGGAGGAGGAGGAGGAGGAGGAGGAGGAGAGGAGGAACGCGGGGACCGTCTCTTCAAAACGAGGACCCAACACCACAGAATGGTTGGGAATGATGTTCTAACATCGTCTTGGGGTCGCAATCGAAAAGGCTTCAAGACAGCCCAAACCAGCCTTCAAATGACGATTTCGCTAGGGACGTCCTCAAAAACATATGAGTTGAACATCGCGTTGTAGTGGTTTAGAGGGCATCAAGACGGCCCCAAGGAGCCCAACACGAGCCCCAATCTGATCCCAAGAGCGCCCTCGAGACGACCGCAAAGGACGATTTCGCTAGGGACATCTTCACCAAACTAAGGATTTACCAGCATCGATAATTGCAAAAACAATCGTTTCGACTGAGACATCCTCACAAACATGACAATCGCGAATTTGACGTGCGTGAGCAATGAGCGTTTCGCCTGAGACGTCTTCGAAAAATGCCATGCCGACAGAGGTGTTTTGGCACCTCTGATGGTAAATATAACGACGCTTTCGCCGGGGACATCCACAGAACATGAGCAGGAGCACGGCAAACCAACACGACCAGCACGGCAGACGAGCCGTCTCTGTTGGCGCTCCCGGCGCGCTTGTTGTATCGTGTTCGTCTTCCCTGGTGGTCTGGCCTGGTTAGAGGCCTCCTAGATGGGGTCGGAGTAGATGGGGTCGGAGGATCGCAGCTTATCGCCGATACATCGGCGATGCACCAGCGATGCACCGGCGATGCAAGGTCGGCATCGGCGGTGCATCGGCGACGTCGACGTGGAGCAAGTCGGGCTCCACATCGAGCCGCATCGCCGATGCATCGGCGATGCTGCGCGATCCTCCGGCCCCATCTACTCTGGCCCCATCTGGGAGGCCTAGACTGGTTCAGGTCCAGTCCCGATTCGTCTACCGGGTCCAAACCTTTCTCGAACCCACTCCAAACGGCCTTCGGATCGCTGGGCTGCCCCGGCGGACCCCAGGGCTGCCCAGCGCGGATCCAAGAAATCCGCGCGGAGCGACCAAAGTTTATGCATGTCGCTCTCTTCTTCTTCTTCTTCTTCGAGGAGGGAGGGAGGGAGGAGGGAGGGAGGGAGGAGAGGAGGGAGGGAGGAGAAGGAGGAGGAGGAGGAGGAGGAGGAGGAGGAGGAGGAGGAGGAGGAGGAGGAGGAGGAGGAGGAGGAGGAGGAGAAGGGAGGAGGAGGAGGAGGAGGAGGAGGAGGAGGAGGAGGAGGAGGAGGACTTCCTGTAGGGGGGCGGGGCGTCGCCTGCAGAGAGTGAGGTCGCGGGGCCGCCCGGGGGGGGCGGAGGGGGGACCTGCACGTCTGCCCCCCCTTCGACCTTCCCCCCCCCGCGGCGAGCGGCCAGGGATTCGATTCAAGGGGCCCTGCAGGACACACAAATAAATACATACACACAAATAACAGGATTCCCGTATATTTTCCTATAGTTTCTGCGTGTTTGCCTCCCCCCCCCCACTTCCCATAGTTTTCCGTATTTTTTCCTGGGGATCGACGGCTCATCGTGTCTGTGTGTTCTGTTCCCTCCTGATCGATGTGGGCCGCCGAGCCTTGCTGACTCAAGAGGCCTCTCCGCCGGGGTCCGAGCAGATGGGCACGGAGGATCACGCCGCATCGCTGGCGCAACGCCGATGCATCGGCGGCGCATCGGCGACGTCGGCGCGGGGAAAGTCGGGCTCCACGCCGAGCCGGATTGCCGATGCATCGGCGATGCGGCACGATCCTCCGACCCCATCTACTCGGACCACATTCGGGAGGCCTCGCTGGCTGCACTCGGCGGCGAGCCCCGGCGGGAGGCGAGAAGGAGCAGGACTTCTCAGAAGGCGGCGGGGCTTCTCAGCAGCCCTTCCATCCTTCCGAGAGAACTTCCGTCTGCGGGGAAGGCTCAGAAAACTCCTCCGGAGGCCGGGGGACTTCGGAGCCTTCTGAGAAGGCCCGCCCCGTCTTGCTTCCCACCTGGGCTGGCCGCCGACAGCCGGGAGGCCTCGACGACTACACCCCCATCGACTGGGTGGCTGGCCGGCCGAGGCCCTCGCGCTCGGCCTCGCCTGGCGTGCCCCCGCCGCCGCCCATCCCTTGCCGCTGCCGCTGCCGCCCGGAGGCGAGCCTGGGCCCGCCGAGGGGCCCGCCGGCAAGAGCCAGCTGCCACTGCCGTCTTGCTGCGGGCTGCCCACCAGACCACCCCCACCCAATCCGAAGACCACACCTGGGGATTGGTTGGGGCCTCCCAGATAGGGTCCAAGTAGATAGGGGTCGAAGGACCGCGCCGCACCGCCAATGCATCGCCGACGTATCGGCGATGCATCGGCGATGCACTGGCGACGTCGGCGATGCATCGGCGACGTCGGCGCGAAGCAAATCGGGCTCCGCATCGAGCCGCATCGCCGATGCTCTGGCGATACGGCGCGAACCTCCGACCCCATCTGCTCGGACCCCAGCTGGGAGGCCTAGAGGTACGGGTCCCACCTGTGTTTTTTCCATGTTCCCCGACGCCCCCCCCCCCACTGGGAATGCAGGGCACACTGGAGCCTTCGGACTGGCTTGGGGTGGTTCGGTGGGTGGGGACTTGCCTCCCCCTCCCCCCCGCACGAGCGGCGGACGTATCCGAAGTCACGCCCTCGCGGTCGGGATAACACGGGGCGCGGTCCCTCGGCTGCGCAGTCGCACAGGTAACCGTTCCGCTCGGGGGCCTCCGCGGAGCACCGCACGAAACATCCGCGAGGTCGCGGCCGACAGGCCCAGGGCCACGAGGCCGCGGATACGGGATGGCTTCCCCTATAAAAGCCCCCCCCCCCACGCGCAGCTCGCCGGCCGGAATGCCCTGTGGGCGAGAGCGGCAGTGAGGGCGGAGGCGAGCGCAGTGGCCCGCACCTCCCCCCCCACGCCGGACTCGTGCCCCACATCACCCCTCAGGGGGCCCACGTCCTTCGGCTTTGGCCGGGCCGCGCGCATCACCAGTCCTCGTGGTTCCCGCGGAGGACGTTCAGGAGGCCGTTCTGGGGGTAGTGCTGCTGTACGCCCGTGGACCCGAATTGCGGGAAGTATTTGGAGAAAAACACAATGAACTCAGCGAAATCTATCACCCCGCTGCCGTCCGAGTCGGCAGACGTCCACAAGCTGTCCACCCGACCCGCAGGGAGCCCGACCTTTTTCGGAACCTTCAGGCACTTCAGCAGCATCTCGTAGAACTCCGTCCTGTCCATCTGGCCGTTCCCATCGGTGTCGAACGAGTCGAAGTGCCTCTTGTACGTGTCAATCTCGGAGATTGGCATGTCGACCTGCCGTGACAAGCTTCTCAGCGCCAGCTCTTTGGCATCTACCAAAAAATACTCATTGAAGGCATGGGTCGAGAACCATATAGCGAATTCGTAAAAGCTGATACAACCACTGCCGTCCTTGTCCGCTCTGCTAAATGCGAAGTCCACCAAATCCGCCACCGTGCCTTCAGGACGAAGTGGAGTGCCCTAAGCAAGGATTAGCCAGAATGCAAAGGATTCACTTCAAGGTAATTTGGGCCCCGACCTCCCACAAAGTCTTGGGGTTCCTGGGGTGCCTCGCCTCAAACGGTCCTACAAGCCCCAAGAGGGCCTCAGGTCCCCTCAGACGGTCCATGAGTGCCCCGAGACGGCTCCAGAGCGCTCCCAGTGCGCCCCAAGACGCCAAAAGGTAGCCTCAAGACGGCCCAAGAGGCCCCGAAGACGTCCCGAGAGAGCTCCAAGAAACCCATGAGAGGGCCGCAAGAGGAAAGCATCCTTGCTTCTCCGTTGGTCTTGGTGCTGCTTTCAGCGCTCGCGCCGCCCTGGGGCGTCCGACGCTCCAAGACGGCCCAAGAAGACCCCAAGATCGCCCAACGGGGCTCCCAGGAGGCCCAAACAGGCCGAAGACGGCCCAGGAGAGCCCAATACCCACTGGTCGGAAGAAGTAGGTGGAAACATGAAGTAGGAAGGCGTTGGAAATAGATTGGGTTTTCGCCCGCCTCCTGCAGAGGAAGGAAGAGGGAAAACTACTCGACTCTTGGAGTAGGAAGGCGCTGAAAGTAGATTGGAATCTGGGAATCCAAAGATACCTACTTCCAACGACCGATGGGTACGGCCCAAGAGGCCCTAGAAGCCCCAGGAGGGGCCCAATAGGCGGAACCCGGATTGACATGTCTGGCCCCCAAAAATGACCCCCGAGACCGCCAGCAGGCCCCCCAGTCCCCCAAGAGTCCCCCCAGGAGGCGCCCAAGAGGCCCGAGAGAGACCTCCAGAATATGCACCCTAGAGGCCCCTAGGGCATCGCAGACTGCTTCCAAGAGGGTGCCGAAGGGGCTCCCAAAGAAATCCGAACGGGCATCCAGGAAGCCTCTGGCCAACAACCCAAAGCGCGGTGGAAGGATGGGCCGAAGGCCACTCGATCCGCCGCGCCCCTCGTTGGCTTGCCATGAGGATGCACGGCGTGCTAGACTTGTGGATGCCATGACAATGGACACTCGAACAATCCTATCATTGAATTGAAGATGTTTTTAAGCATGTGTAAAACATGTCCTTCACATGTTTCAAACATGTTTGTACATCTTTAAAACATGCATGAAACATTTTTAGACATCTGGAAATTACTTGGCAGCCTGCTTCCTCTCCATTGACCGACTTCCACAATGCTAGACTTCTGAGCGGTCTTTGGCCCCTTAAAAACATCCAAATTGTAGTGTAAAGAGAACTATGCACATACACCGATTCTGGCCAGGCCCATCCTGAGCCCAGGATCGGTGCATACGCCCTTTGACCTTGACCAGGAAGGTATATGCCCCGATCCTGGGTCGAGGATGGGCCCTGCCAGGATCGGTGCGTGTGCAGAGTTCCCTTCGCCCGAATGAATCGACTCCCACCACGCTCCGGAATCGATCGGCTTTCCCTCGCGACGCTCCGGAACGAAGGGTCCAGCGCTTGTCCACCGAGGCACTGCGTCTGCACGCAGGTGCTCTTGCATGTGTGTTCAGGTATGTCTTCCGCATGCTATTTTCTGCCGATGCGCCGTCAGGGCGCGGCTCCTGCCTGCCTGCCTGACAGCGCTACCCCAGCTTTCGTAATTAAAGGGAGGGGGTCACAACCCTCCCAGACGAGAAGTCTTAGACCCCCCCAGACCATCCATGAAAGGGCGGCCCTTTGCCCAGACCCCCACCGAACCCTCCAAGACAGCTCAAATCAGACCCCCCCCAAATGTGACCCCCCCACTTTACTTTGGAATCCGGAGTAGGCTTCTGAGCGGTCTCTGGCCCCTTGCAACAAAAAAAAGGTCCGCATGGGGCCTCGGCGGATCGCGCCCGTGCGGAGAAGGGGGACCCCTGCGCCTCCCAGGTCGTCGGCCGTCCCGCCCCCGGCGGCCCCACGCGATGACCCCCAAGACGGCCACGAGATGGTCTCCGAGACGGCTACGATTAGGTCGGGCCTGCCCCCCTGCAGGGGGATCTTGGGAGAAAAAATTCCAAATGCCCCCCAAAAATACCCCAAACATGTTCAAAAATAGTCAAACCATAGTCCCCAGACTATTTTTGGACTATTTCTGAACATTCCCCCTGTAGAGGGACAGGCCCGACTTAAGGCTACGACGACCCCAGGAGAGCCTAAGATGGCCTCGACATGTCTCCAAGATGGCCCCAGATGCGCACCCAAGACGGCCCAACACGGCCCCAGGACAGCCCAAGACGGCCCAAGATGCTCCCAGGCGGCCGACAAGACTGCCGAGGAGGCCTCCAAGAGGACCTCCAGCAAGGCCCCAATATACCAAACTCGTTGATTTCCCCATGTGTTTGGATGAGTTGGGCGTGCACTTCTGCTCCCCCTTCCGACCGCCCAAGACGGCCCAAGACGCTTCCAAGATGGCACCAGGAGCGCCCCAGAGGCCTCCAAGCTGGCCCCACGACCCATGGCGGCCCAAGAGGCCTCCAAGACGGCCCCAGAGGCGGACGATGGGGACCTCCACGGTGCTCACGACGGCGCACAGGACGGCCCTGAAGCGCCCCAAGGAGGCCGGGGGTCGGCCCAACACCGGCGGAAACTGCACGGCGCCCACCCCGCCGATGCCTGAGGAGGCCTCCAAGAGGCCCGCGGGAGGCCCAAAGAATGTCCCAAACGTCCTACCCCCCTCTTTCCCTTCCCTCCCGAGCGTTTCTGCAAAGGGCTCCCGCGACGGCTGCGGCAACACACAGCCCGACAGCGTGGCCGAGCCCCGGCCACAGCCTTTGGCCACACGGGCGCTGCCTCAACAGCAGGGGGGCGCCTGCGGTTCGCCGTGAGCGTCTGCGGTCCCCCGCTCCCCTGTGATCTTTAAGGGGTGCACGCCGTGCTGCACTTGTGGGTGGTGTTGGCCACCCGCCAGTCGAAAGAAGCAGGTAGACATGAAGGAAGGAGGCGGACAAAGTAGATAGGGTTCGGGCCTGCCCACAGAACGACACAGTACAGCAAAAGCAGATCGGGTCTCTTGAAGTAGGGAGGCGCTCGAAGTGGATGGGCATCTGGGAGCCCAAAGTAGGCCTGCTTTCAGCGACCGGCGTGCAGCTGTGCAGGTTTAAAACAATCGTGGCCGACTGTTTTCGCTAAGTTTTAGAAGTTGCTTGATGAACGCTTCGGGATTATTGGAGGCCTGGAAATTGGCACCAACACCAGCACAGGGGTTTGCCTCCACAGGGAGATGATGATCTTAGATTTCGGTGTTGGTGGTAATATTTCGGTCACCCTGGAAGCCAGACTATTACCACCATCACCGAGATCGGGATCGTCTTCCCTCGGTGGAGGAACACCGCCGATCTTGGTGTTGGTGTCAATCTCTAGGACTCCGAGATTAGGGAGGCGCTCGAAGTGGATGGGGATCTGGGAACCCAGAATAGACCTGCTTTCAACGACTGGCGTGTAGCTGTGCAGGTTCCCCTACGGGGTGTCTCGGCCGATCGCGCCGGCCACCCGAGAAGGCACACTCCACCGGCCGTTTCGCACCAGGAGGGCAGGCCAACTTCCCAGGTCCTCCTCCTCCTCCTCCTCCCTCCTCCCCTCCTCCCCCTCCCCTCCCCCTCCCCCTCCCCCTCCTCCTCCTCCTCCTCCTCCTCCTCCTCCTCCCCCTCCTCCTCCTCCTCCTCCTCCTCCTCCTCCTCCTCCTCCTCCTTCTCCTCCTCCAGGTCGTCGGTCTTCCCGTGCCAGGCGGCCCCAAGATGGGCTCCGAGACGGCCAAGATGGTCTCCAAGACAGCTGCGGTGGCCCCGAAAGGCACCCAAAGATGGCCCCCGAATGTCTCCAAGACGGGCCGACATGCTCCCAAGATGGCTCCAAGATTGCCCAGGACGGCCCAAAAGGCTTCCAGGACGGCCCAAGGGGCCTCCAAGAGGACCTCCAGCAAGGCCCCAAGATACAAACTCATTGATCGTCGCATGGCTTGAAAAAATTGCGTTTGCCCATTTTCGGCTTTCCGACGGCCACAGACGGCCCCAGAGGCCATCAAGATTGCCCCAAGAGCGCCGTGGAGGCCTCAAGACGGCCCAAGGGACCTCCAAGACGCCCAAGATGGCCTCCAACACGGCAAAGACGGCCCTGAAGCGCCCCGAGAGGCCTCAAGTCGGCCAAGAGAGGCCCCCAAGACGGCTTCTGGCGGCGTCAGACGGGCCAGGAACGCCCTCAGACTGCCAAAGAGCCCCTCAAGGAGCTTCCAAAGGTCCCGAAGAGGCTCAAGGAAACCCCCAAGAGGCCTCCAAGAGGCCCCTGGGAAGCCCCCAGGAGGCCCCAAGAGTGCCCCGAGAGTGCTCATCCTCCTCCTCGTTCCTCCCTCTCCTCTTTTTCTTCTTTCTCCTCCACGTGGTCCCCGAGGGGGTGCCACAGCGGCTAGTGGAAGACACGGCCCGATAGCTCAGCCAGACTTCGGCCAAACGTTTCGCCGCATGGGCGCTTCCTGGGGGGGCAAACAGTGGCATGAGCATAAAAACTCCGAGGTCCACAACGATTTCTCAGATTGGCGCTGGACCCCCCTCCCAAGCGCGCTCCGGGCGGCGCCGGAGGCGCCGCCAGGAAGCTCCAGCGCCGATCCGAGGAATCCGCGCGGACCTCCGAGCTTTCATGCTTATGTCACTGCTTCTTCCCCTATTTCCTGAAGCGAGGGGGCGGCGGTGATTTGCCACAGGCGCCTTCGATAACTCTCGATGACGACATTATGGTCGGGCTTCGCCATCTCCCTCATGACGCTAGCGAGGCCCGCCTTCGACAGCTTCCCGTCTTCGAGGACGGCGCCCCCCTCGGGCAGCGTCGCGTGCTGCCGGAACAGCTTCATCGCGGCCTCCATGTTCTCCATCGGGATCCGCAGTTCCCGCTGAAGCCGGCTCATTTTGATCGCCTCCTCTAGAAGCGCCATAGACATAACTATTGGGCGCTTCGTGCGGATGTCTTGGATCTGCGTTGGACCCCTCTCCCGGGCGCGCGGAGCGCGCCAGGGGCGGCGCTGGAGGCGCCGCCGGGGGGGGACCCAGCGCGGATCCAAGATATCATCGCGAAGCGCCAAACATTTATTGTTGTATCGGCGGTGGACAAACCTCCTTTTGGCAAACCTCCCCTCAATGAAAGCGGCCTGGGACCGAAACCGACGGACCTGGACCCGCAAAAATGACGGCCGCGACGCCCTCTCGCGAACCGACAACGGCCAATTCCTGAATCTGCGCGTCAGGGTAGGAAGTCTATCAACCTCCGATCGTATGGCGTTTTTCATTCCTCGATTGAAGGGGCCCTGGGACACACAAATAAATAATACACACAAATATAAAGGGATCCCCCAGTTATTTCCCATCTCTTCTGGGCTTCTGTCTTCCCCCCCACTCCCCACATCTTCCCATATCTTCTGGGGAATCGAGGATTCATTGTGTCTGTGTTTAGGGGAGAACAAACCTACCTCGCTTTTGACCACCCTCGCTTCCAAGAGATACCAAACGATGCCACATTGCAGCCTGTACTGGTCAGGCCGCCTGACGAGGAGGCGCGTGGTATGGCTTGGTTTTGCCTGGAAGCGAAAGCGGGGTAGGTAATTCACGCTCTGATGTGTGCTTCTCTTCCTCCCGATCGATCCTCCGCCTGCGGATCCGGGCGGGCGCTCCGTGGCGTGGGCGCCTGCGCCTGCAGCAGCACCCCGCCGGGGAGCCGCTCCCCCCTCCCCCCTCCTCCTCCTCCTCCTCTCCTCTCCTCCTCCTCCCCTCCTCCTCCTCCTCCTCCTCCTCCTCCTCCTCCTCCTCCTCCTCCTCCTCCTCCTCCTCCTCCTCCTCCTCCTCCTCCTCCTCCTCCTCTCCTCCTCCTCCTCCTCCTCCTCCTCCTCCTCCTCCTCCTCTCCTCCTCCTCCTCCTCCTCCTCCTCCGCCTGCGCCTGCAGCAGCACCCCGCCGGGGAGCCGCTCCTCGGGCGGCTCCTCGCCGAGGCCCTCGGCCTCGGGGCCCGCCGCGCCCGCCCGCGGCGGGCCCTTGGACGAGCGAGGCTTCTCGGGCGAGCCCTCCGCCTCGGGGCTCGCGCCCACTCGGAGCAGACCTGAAAGGGGCCCCATCAGACACACACATAAACACACACACACACAAATAAAAAAAGATTCCCCGTGTTTGCCCATGCTTTCTGGGCCTCCGTCCTCCCCCCCACTTCCCATATCTTCCCATACTTTCTGGGGGAGGAGGGGGAGGAGGAGGAGGAGGAGGAGGAGGAGGAGGAGGAGGAGGAGGAGGAGGGAGGAGGAGGAGGAGGAGGAGGAGGATTCATTGTGTCTGTGTGCTTCTCTTCCTCCTGGAGACCCCGCAGCGGGCGGGGCCTCTCGGGCCCCGGGGGCGTGCCGTCCGCGGGCGGGCGGGCGCTCGGGGCGGGGCCCTCCGCCTCCGAGCTCTCCGTCACGCGCGGGAGGCCCCCCGACGGCGGGAGCCGCTCGGAGGCGCCGAGGAGGCGCACCGCGGGCGGCTCCTGTAGAAAAGGGCATGAACATAAGTAGGGAGCCCACAAAGGACGTACGCGCCCAGCTATGTACATGAACACGGCCCCTCGATTCGCGACACCGGCCGCGTGATACGAACATTTGTGCAATGCGTGGTCTCGAAACCAGCGGGGATTCATGTACATGTACGTCCTTCTTTCGCTCCTGAATAAGCTTTTGGGGCTCCGCGCGGATGTCTTGGATCTGCCCTCGGCACCCCTCCCCGGCGCGCTCCGCGCGCCCTGGGGCGGCGCCGGAGGCGCCGCCGGTGGGGGAACCCAGCGCGGATCCAGGCAATACGCGCGGAAGGCCGAAAGTTGATTTTGTATGGCGTTGTGTCTTCTTCGGGCAGGAGGAGGAGGAGGAGGAGGAGGAGGAGGAGGAGGAGGAGGAGGAGGGGGAGGAGGAGGAGGAGGAGGGGGAGGAGGAGGGGGAGGAGGAGGAGGAGGAGGAGGAGGAGGAGGAGGAGGAGGAGGAGGAGGAGGAGGAGGAGGAGGAGGAGGAACAGGAGGAGGAGGAGTAGGAGGAGGAGGAGGCCTGGGCCTGGCCCTTCTCCTCCTTCGATCCTGGGGAGAGTCCTCCGCCTCAGAACGCGCGCTGGCTCGAAGCAGGCCCCTCGAGGAGCGGAGCTTGTCGTGCACCTCGCGGGCGCGGGCCTCGGGCGGCTCGCCGGCGCCGGGGGCCGAGGCCTCCGCCTCGGCGCGCGCGGGCAGGCGAGGCAGGCCCTTGGTCGACGGGAGCCTCTCGGACTGGCGGGGGGGGCTGCTGATGGCCCACCCGACGGGGGCTGTGGGGGACCTCGCGGATCGCGGGGCGGCCTGCTCGGGTGCGGCTTAACCGACCCCCAGCAACCCAACTGTGGGGCAACGATAGGGGGGGATAGGCCATAGGAAGGATGCGTCGACCTGGAATCGGCGATACATCGTCGATAAACCGGCGATAGGCCCCCAACAGTGAATCCGCACCTTCCTGGGCGGGGTGGGGCAATCAGGCCCCTATCGGCGATCAGTGGGCGATTGGAGGCCGATGCATCCCCCATGTCCCCCCCCATCGTTGTCCCCGACCAACCCCTTCCGTGGCGTCGTTCTCGCCGTTCGAACCCCTCCCCTGGCCGCACACCTACGTCTCGGGTCGCGAGGCGGGAAGGCCCGTCACGGAGGGGCATGGCCTGCTGAGGGTCGGGGCTCGGCCGCCCCCGAGGCCTGCTGCCCCCTGTCGTGGGCGAGCTGCGGCATGGAGGCCACCCGGGGCAGCGCGCCGCCCGCCAGCGCCGAGCGATCGTCCCCTCGCTTCGTCGACAGCCGGCCGGGCAGCGTGGCAGACAGCGCCGCGTCGTTCCTCGGCGCGGGGCTGCCGCGCGTGCTCCTGCGCGCGTGGCCAGGCGGCACGCGCCCCGCGCCGCCCCCGCCCGGTGGTGCCAGATCCGCCACCGTGCCATCATGGCACGTCGTGAGGTATAACGCCAAGTCGTATCATCATCATCACCATCATCATCATCACCATGATCACCATCATCACCGATACAATCCTCATCATCCTCATCATCATCACCATCATCATCATCATCATCATCATCATCCGCGTCATAATCACCACCACTGGCATCACAACCACCATCACCGTCATAATCAGCACCGGCCCCATCATCATCAACATCAAAAACATCATCATCATCATCATCATCATCATCATCATCATTATCATGATCATCATCCGCATCGTCATCATCACCTGTACCACCCACACCATGATCATCAGCATCAACGTCGTCAACATAATCACCAGCTTCATCATCATAACCATAATCATCATCAACGACACCATCAACATCATCACCAGCATCCGCATCATCATCACCAGCGTCATCATCAACATCATCATCATCACCAGCAGCATCAGCATCATTTTCATCAACATAATCCTCACCATCCTCATCCTCATCTTCATCACATTCATCATTTTCATCATCAGCGCCATCATCATCAGCATCATCATCACCATGCTCCGCATCATCGTCACCTTAATCCGCATCATCATCCACCGCATCAGCACAAGCAGCATCGGCATCATCATCCGCATCATCATCACCTTCGTCATCAGCACCAACACAAAACTCATCATCATCATCATCGCACTGACCAAACTCGTCAGCACGGTCATCATCATCATGGTCGTCACCATCATCAGCAGCAGCATCACAAACGTCGTCGTCATCATCGTCGTCACCACCACAAGCACCATCACCATCAGCATCAGCATCCTCATCATCATCTTCATCATCACCATCAGCAGCAGCGGCATCACCATCACCATCATCTGCATAATGATCAGCATCATCCTCACCACCCTCGTCCCCATCCTCATCGTCTACACCTCCATCCTCCTCCTCCTCCTCCTCCTCCTCCTCCTCCTCCTCCGCATCCCCATCCTCACCATACTCAACAGCCTCAATATCCTCATCCTTTTCATGTTTCGAGACTTTCGATGCGGGCTCCAAGGCGCGCGCACCGCGCGCCGTAGCCCTCATTCGGTCGTCCTGATGTAGGCGCCGAAATTGTCCTCCGTGATCGTTGCGTTGGGCCCCCTCCCTTCGGCTCGCGAGCTGAACTCATTTCCTCCTCCTCCTCCTCCTCCTCCTCATCTTCATCCTCCCCTGGCGGGACTCGCCGCAAGCAGCCGGCTAGGACCTCCTCCAGGGGGGCGGGGACCCCACCCTCGGGGAGTCGGCCGGCTCCGCCGGCGCCGCGCCCGGCGGCACAGCGGCCGCGTCCACAGCGGCGGCGGCTTTCTGCGACGACCTCTGTGGATGCTCGAAATGTTTACTCTGAACTTTTAATTTATCGGCTGGGGGGAGACACGCGCGAAAACGCGGCGCGGCCAACCCCCCCCCCGGCACCGCCCCCGCGCCCCAGCGGCGAAGGGAACGAACCCCAGACATCCCCTGGCACCCCCGCGGACGCGCCGCGGCCAACCCCCCCCTGGCGCGCCGAAGGGGCGCGATTATTGACCGACTCAGAACACAGTGGAGGCCAGTCAACAAGAAACCTCCCGCAATACACCCAACCCTGAGACCCCAAAACGTCCATTGATTCCCAACCATCCTGTGGTGTTGAGTCCTCGTTTTGAAAGGACGGTGCCCCGCGTTCCTCCTCCTCCTCGTCCTCCTCCTCTCCTCCTCCCCCTCCTCGCCTCTGCCCTCCGCGTCTCTCTGTCGGCACACCCCTCGCACGCTTCGTGGCCCCATAGGGAGCTCCAACTACGGTCCCAGCGGCGGAACTCGCATGGCGGCCTCGGGCCATTTCGGCGCACCCAATCACTGGCCCCATGGGAACTCCACCTAAGGTCCCATCGGCGGAACTCGCATGCGGTACCCGCGCCCACTTTGGACACCCATCGCACGTCTCGTGGCCCCATGGGGAATTCCACCCAAGGCCCCCAGTGGCGGAACTCGCACGCGGTGCCCACGCTCATTTTGGCACACCCCTCACGCGCCTCGCGGCCCCATATGGAGCTCCACCTAAGGTCCCAACGCAATACCCGCACCCATTTTGGCACACCCCTCACACGTTTCGCGGCCCCGTGGGGAACTCCACCTGACGTCCCAGCGGCGGAACTCGCATGCGGTACCCACACCCATTTTGGCATACCCCTCACACGTTTCGTGACCCCATAAGGAGCTCCACCGAAGGCCCCCGTGGGGGCGCCAGGACCCAACACCACGAGCCATGAAGGGCGCCAGTGGCAGCTTCCCCCATGGTTTTCAGAGCCCTCTCCTGCTTCAGCTCCTCGGTCAGGGGTGCGCCGTCCTCGTCGTCGCCGGCGCCCGCCAAGACGGCCGCGAACGTGTCCGTGAGCATGTCGGGCTCCGGCGGGAGGCCGTGGCCACATAGGGAGCGTGAGCGAAGATGGTATTCACAATTGCGGTATTCACAATTGCGTATGATTGGGTTTTTCGCCAGACGAATTTTTTTGGTGCGAGAGCGTCGCGTTTTCCAGAGATAAAACAATCGAAACCCAGGAAACCCAAGGCATTCTGGAGGCAAGCAAGGTGTTTCTTGGCATGGGTCCCCACGGTACGAGATGGGCACGATGCCCAACAGCAAATGTTGTCCAGCACTGACAGCGGCCGCTGTTGGGCAGGCGGCCATCTGTCTCACAAAGGGGAAACGTCCGCGGCGGCACTGGCAGCGAACCCGGTTCCAAAAACGGGCAGGAACTGCTGTCGGTCTTTGTCCCCGTTCTCTCCGTAACCGCGATCGGTCTTTAGAGCCTCCCAGTAGTGGTGACTAATTACCCTTCCCTTCTTGACAGACGGGGTCTCCACCAATGGTGGAAAAAAGATATTTCTCCGTGGCATCCGCCACGCAACACGAGGAGGAGGAGGATGAGGAGGAGGAGGAGGAGGAGGAGGAGGAGGAGGAGGAGGAAAGGAGGAGGGAGGGAGGGAGGAGGAGGAGGTGGAGGAGGTGCAGGAGCTGGAGGGGGAGGAGGGGCGGAGTGCAGCCCCCCGCCGAGGGACGCAAGGGGGGGGGGGGGGGGCGGGGGGCCCTCAGAGCTGCAGGCCTCCCTCGCGCTTCCCCCCCCCTCCCGTCGCGCCGAGGCCTCGGCCCGAGCACCAGCGGGAACGACGGGAGCGCCGGCGGCACGGTGCTGAACCTCAGCCGCGGGCGCTGCAGCCGGGCCTCGGCGGGCGGCTGCTCCGGCGTGGGGCAGCTCCACCCGCGGGGCGCGGCGGGGGGCGGCGCGGCGGCCCGGGCCTCGGCCCTCGACGCTACGGCGACCCACTTCGGAGTGGCCGTGGGGCTGACGTCGAACTGGCTCAGGGTCAGGACCATCCGACGCCCGCGGGTGGTCCGACAAGGGCCCTCGCGCGAGCCAAAGTGCAGCTGTGCAGAAGGGGGGAGGAGGAGGAGGAGGAGGAGGAGGAGGAGGAGGAGGAGGAGGAGGAGGAGGAGGAGGAGGGGCTTCGTCTTTCTGCTTTTTTTTGGGGGGGGAGGAATGCACGCTGCAGGGGAATCCAGTCGACTCTGGGTAGAGTCGGGGACCTTCCGAGGCCTCCATGTTGGACGCCCGAAATGGGTACGGACAGAAATGGGTTCGATGCCCAACAGAACGTTTGGTCCCAAATCGGCAGCGGCCGCTATTGGGCTGGCGGACTTGTCTCAAATGGACACCGTCCGCGGCGACGCCGACTGCGAGACCGGTTCAAAATGGGCAGGCACTGCTGTTGGTCTTCATGCCCAGCATTTCCGTACCCATGTCGATCGTACCGATCTATCCCTGATCGGCCGACTTCACCGGTGAAACTGCCGAGCTGTAGTCCGGGAAACCGGACCATGGGAGAGGAGGATGCGGAGGCGGCGAATGCAGAGCAGGAGGACGCGAAGGTAGGATACTCAACATCTGGATGCATTCAGACGCGTACGTAATCACACGTGAACAACTGCATTTGCGCTTCGCGCCACGCAACCTGTTTCTCAGATGTTTGAAAGCGGGTGGGAACGAGCGCAGTCGAGAAGAAGGTCAGGTCCACGGGGTGACAACGAACGGGACTCGCAAATTTGGCAGCTAGTGGCAACGACTGAACTTCGACGGGTGCACGTCCGGACAGGCGATCCGCCCTCTACTCCTTCTCTTCCTCCCCCTCATCCCTCTCTCCCGCACCCTTCCCCCCTCCCCCACAATCGCCTCCTGTGTTTCCTATTCCTGTCCCTGGTCCTTGTCCTGCTCATGTCTGTCACCCCGCGCAACCTCCATCCCTTTTCGGTCACATTCGTACTCTTCGCGTCTGCCCCCCTCTCTCCTTCATCGTCCCTCCACTTTGTGCGTCCCTCCCCCACCTCCTCCTTTTCCATCCATGCTCCTCATAAACAGATGGAGCCCTCTTCGGACTCTCGAGGACCGCCTGGGGTCTGTGGCCTCTCGGCCCTCTTGGACCCTTCTATTTGCAGCCCTCTTGGACCCTCTGTGGGCCAGCCTATACGATTTTCGGGACCTCTGGGGGCCTTCTCGGAGGCCTATCGGATCAATCTTGGAAGCCGCTGGGGCCATCTGTGAGGCCTCCTCGGGGCCATTTTGGAGCACTGCTGTGCCATCGTTGGCCCATCCAACGGAGGGCCTCCAAGGCAACTGTGAACCCGCTTGTGGCGTCCTCTGACGCCTTGGTAGCCTCTTGCGGCCATCCCGGGTTCTCTGCAGCTCCTCGGAGGCCCTCTTGGAGCCGTCTTGACCCGGAAAACCCAAAAAAACAAGATGCACAGACCCAGAGGCTTGGCCCGAATTTTCAGCTCCAGGGCCTCTCTTAGACGTCCTCGGGGTTCTGAAGGCCTGGTCGGTCGCCCATGGATGCTCCCGTGCACTTGCTATTGCATCTGTTGGCAGCATCTGAGCGGCCTCCCAACTGACAATCGCCTTACTACGAGGATCGGCACGGGCGTCCAGGATGCCAGGGAGGCCAAGGTCCGGGAGTCCCGAGGACTGGGCCCAGGCTCAGTGCAAACAGAAAGTGTCTGCCGGCGAGGTGCGCAAACATTGCACTCTTGCACTCTCGGTGTGCGATTCTGTAGGGTGCAGTCTATGGACGAACATTTGCGTGGTGTCATACATGTTGTGCAAAATATGCGGTCCCATCTGTGGAATGTAATTTACGTCTGTTTTGTGGATCAGCGATAGCCCGGGTTATCCAGGGAGGAAGGGGCCAGCCGATAACCTAACCTTCGCGCTGTGGGCAGCCTTGCAGATGCCCGCGCGCACGGGGGCTGCGCCCCGTACAACTGTGAATGGAACTGCGAAGATGGTGCTATTGGTGCTGCGACGACGCGGGTGCCGTTAGAGAAAACCTAGGGATATGTCCGGACAGCTCGCATTGGGATACGCGGATACGCGGGATGGGATTGTTGAGAGTAGCCGCGGAATCTAATGTACATTCGAGTGCACGCATGCACCACAATTCCTGTGAAAACTACAAAGAACGCGTGCGCCACAACGCTCTTGTACACCTCAGGTACTGACGCAGCAGCAGCTTCTGCTTGCCCACAGCGCCAGTGTACACGCCGATGCATGTGCACACCACAGGAGCCGTTCACCTCTAAGGCCCCAACGAAGCCAAAATCTGGGGAAACGCTGGGGGCCCGAACGTATCAAATTCATTATGTAAGTTATTTGTGATTCTTGATTCTTCTGGCCCAGGGTACGGTTCCCCCGATTGGGGCCAGCCTAGTCTGTGTACACCGCAGTGCCTGTTTAGTGTACACCACACCACAGCGCCTTTGTACGCCACAGGTGCATGTGTACACCGCAGCGCCTGTCTACACAACAGTGCCCGTGTACACTACAGCAGCCGTCTGTACACTACGGCCACCCCGTGCACAACAACGCCAGTGTACACGCCGATGCTTGCGCGCACCACAGGCGCCGCGTGCACCACAGCGCATGGCGAACATTTGCGCCACAGCGCTTCTGTGCACCTTTAAGGGTCCCACGGAGCCCAAATCTGGAAAATCGCTGGGGGCTCGAACGTATCAAATTCAATGTGTGAGATATTTGTGATTATTAATGTTTCTGGCCCGAGGTGCGGTTCCCCCGTTTGGAGGCAGCCATGTCTGTGTACTCCACAGTGCCTGTCTAGCGTATATCACGGCGCCTTTGTACACCACGGCTGCTGCTTGTGTACACCGCAGTGCCTGTCGACAGGACAATGATTGCGTACACCACAGCGCCTATGTACACTAAAGCAGCCGCGTGCACAACAGCGCCTGTATACTCTACAGTGCCTGTGTACACTGCGACGCTTATGTGCACCACGGCTGCTGTTTCAGCGCCACATGTGTGGACCACAAGTCTACTGCACTAAAGTGCTTGTGTACACCACACAACCCAATTTCGTACACGTCCAAGGCCACGGTGGGACCGAAGTCCAGAAAATCGTGGGAGATCCAAACGTATCAAATCCAGTACGGGTGTTATTTGTGATAATTAATTTTCCAGGCGAACAGACCAATCCCGTCGCTTTGGCCCACAGCGATTGTACACCACAGCGCCATAGCGACTGTGTGCACAACAGCGGATGCGTACACCGCAGCGCCTGTGTACACCACAAGGTGTGGTACACCGCAGCGGCCGTGCACCACAATGCTTCTGCACACAACCATGCCTGGGATGCCTGCGCAGAAGTGCCGTTGCAGCAACACTTGTGTACACCAGAAAACCGGTCTACACCATGTTACCTGGGTGCATAACGATGCCTGCGCGCACCGCGCGGCCCATGTGCACTTGTGCTTGCGTGCACCACAACGCCTGCGTACACAACGTATCCTGCTGCAGCAGCATTAAACGCGTGCACCAAATCGCCTCGACACCTGTGCAAAACGCAATGCCTGTGTACGCGCTGCTCACGTGCACCTCTGGGTGCCCAAGGACGACGTCGGTCGTCGTCGTCGTCGACATCGACGTCGTCGTCGTGTTCGTCGTCGTCGTCATCGTCGTAAACTCCCCCTGCCACTCCAAGCCCCACCGTTCACCAACTTGCATCCAAACACCATCATGCAGCATGCTGTCGCAGACACCACCGCGCAATTGAACGCAGCGTTGCGTGCGAACTCGCTGCGTCCCCCCCCGGACCTGCACAACCGACAGAGTTAGGTTATCCTGGGGGGGCGGGCGAGCCACCATCAAAAAAGTAGCTTATACGGCGCAATCTATGTGACACCAAATATGAGGCGCAATATGTAGAATGCAATCGACGTGGTGCAACATACGTGGCGAAGCTCACGGGGCACAATGCATTCTCAACATATGCGGCGCAACCTATGGTATGCAAACTACGTGGTGAAGGCCATGCGGTGCAGCCAATGTGGGACAAATGTGGTCGGAAGAACTTGGAGTCGCCCGCTCCACCACTCGGGCAAACGTCCCACCCATTATATCTGGAACTTCTTGGCAACATTCAAATGGCGCAGACCACTGATGATGTTGACGACGATGGTGGTGGCGAGGACGACGACCTCGAAAAATATGATAACGGCAATAGTGATGATGACGACGTTCATGGTGATGGTGATGCGACATATGATCATAATGGTAAGGATGGCAATGCTGATGCTTGCGGTGATGATCATGAAAATGATGGTAATGACAACGATTGTGCTGATCAAAATGCAGAAGAAATGCGCGCGCACGGAACATCTGCTATAATCTTATTTGCCCAAGATGGCCCCAAGACGGGCCAAGAGGTCTCCAAGACGGCCCCCGAGGTCCCAAACAAGCCTCCCAAGAGGGCCCAAGAGTCTAAAATTGTTGATTTTCCATAGTGTTTTTCGATGTGTTTTGCTTTTCCGCCTTTTCGGCTTCCCGACGCTCCAAGACGGCCAAAGAGGCCCCAAAGACAGCCCCAAGATGGCCCAAGAGGCCCCCAAGACGGCCTCCAGACGGCCCAAGACGGCCCCAACACGGCCCAAGAGGTCCCCAAGACGGCCCAAGAGGGCTCCAAGACGGCACCAAGAGGGGCCCAAGAGGGCGACCAAACATGTTGAAACTCTAGCTTTCTGCCCCCAGGAGCCCCAGGGGGCCCCAAGAGTGCCCCAAGAGGCCCCCAGAGGCCCTCACGAGGCCGCCCAGACGCCCCAAGGAACCCCCAAGAAGCACCCCAAAGGCTCCGAAACGGCCCCCAAGTGGCTCCAAAACTCGCGGTGTCGCCGTCCGCTCGGACCCCCCCGCGGAACTGCCCGAGACCCTCTGGCGGTGGCGGCGAACAGACACCAAACAAATATCACTCGCCTTTTCACCCCTTCGCAGCTTCTACTACCCCCAGATTAGCATAAACAAGGGGTCGGCGGTG